GATTGGTTTGAGGGTATGCTGATGGATCAGCGTGCCCCTGCCAACCAGGTGTCCAAATCAGCGTTGGTGGTTTTCTTTATACTGATACTGTCAGTGTAATTTTTTTTCCTAAACTGAACCTGCAGTGTAAAAAAACAAAAAAAGCAGAGCTGATGCAACAGTGCATGGATGCGTCCAAAGTTACCATTGTGACAAACAGCAGCACCAATACCGCATGCTGGCTGAATCTACCTCTAACAAACTAGCTCATGTCATGTCTTCATCAGAAGAAACGCTCGCATCATCACCACTGCTACTGGCATCGTCATCACTCTCACTGCCATCGCCTGCAGAACCACACATGGCCTCGTTTAGGTCCTCCTCCTCCACCACCCGGCGGCCACTCCCCTTAACAAACTTGGCCTTGGCCCGCTCCTTCTCTGGCACAGCTTGCTCCTTGCGCTTGCTGGGGCGCCTTTTCCTGGTGCTCCGCCAGATGTCTAGCACCTTATCCCACTCCATGTCGTAGTCGAGCAGACTCATTGCCAGCAAATCTCCCAGCTTGGCGTTGCAGAGACTCGTCCGGCGCCACGACTTGATCACATTCTTGCGGGAAAACCCGCGCTCGCACTCGACTGTGCTGAGAGGCGGAACAGCGACCGCAGCCCACAGACGGACTAAGTTGGGGTAGCTGGTCTGCCAGTCGTTGGTCTGCAAGATGGCCTTCAAACCTGCGTGAAAGGGCTGCTCTTCCTTGGGGGCAGTGGAGAGCACCGGCAGGAACGTGCGCAACTCCGCTCGTGCCGCACGCTTCTGGACACCTGCGAAACGGGTTGAGCACAACCAGGGTAGAAAGTCAAGCGCACAACATGGGAATAACGCAACCACGGAAACGGCAATGCATACACGCAGGTCAGTGGGGATCTATTTCTCGCTCACCAGGCAAGATCGTGTCCCGGTTCTTGGCCTGAAACAGATGGACGAGGCCGTGCAGGTGCTCCTTGCACTCTGCGTCTCTTGCCTCGACGCCCCTCTGAGAAGAATGAAGAACGAGGATGAATGAACTATGAATGAGGTGAGTACATATGGAAAACCCTAACTGGGTTGTACCCCCTATGGGATACCCCACTATAGCCTACACAACAGCATAAGCTATATAATGTTCTGACACACCCCCATAGGCAAAGTGGGGGAGAACAAGGGGTCACAAGACCAGTCAAGCAAAGCAGAGCAAGCTCAGGGTGGATCACAACGTCACCACACAGTCCGAGCACAACGACAAGGCCACAAGGCCAGTTCACATGCAGGAGTACACATATATATATAGAGCTAGACAAGCAAGAGCAGGTATATATATGTGACAGTACAAGTAAGGTCAAGAGGAGAGCAAGTGAGGCAAGACAGGTACAAGACCCAGCTGAGTGCAGAAGCGCTGATGGTCACAAGGCGCAAGTGCCTTGGTGAACACATCAGCAGTGTTGGCCTGAGAGGCCACGTACGCAAGTCGCAACTGACCACGCTGCTGCAGCTCACGAGCAAGAAAGTAACGGAGAGCAATGTGCTTCGTTCTGTGCTCCAAGCGCTGCTCTCGACACAAGGCCAGCATGGCCTTGTTGTCTACGTACAGCACTGGAGGAGAACGAGGCGGCTCTCCAAGGTCAGTCAGCAGGTAGGTGAGCCAGCGAAGCTCCTGTGCAGCCATGGCCCCGGCGTAGATCTCAGCCTCACAACTGGAGCCGAGAACAGAGGACGAGCGAGTAGCTCGCCACGAGACAGAGCCGGAACCAAGACTGAAGGTGTAACCCTGCGACGACCGCTGCGTAGCCTGGTCGTCAGCCCAAGAAGCGTCCGCGTGCCCAGTGAGGACCACTGGACTCCGCCCTCCAAGCACTAGTCCCATGCCCGACGTACTGCACAAGTATCGCAACACCCTCTTCGCTGCAGCCATGTGCTCTGGTCGGTGTCTCCCAGGAGCAACATAGCGTGCAAGAATGCTAAGAGGGTATGCAAGGTCAGGTCGTGTGCAGGTCATCAGGTACATGAGGCAGCCAACAAGCTCTGGATACGAGCCACTCGACTCTACTGACTCATCCGAAGGCAGAGCTGAGAGTGAGTGGCGAGTAGGCAGAGGAGTGGCCTGAGGCGAGGAGTACGTGAAGCCGAAGCGCTGAAGGACCTGCTGCACCATGTGTGACTGAGTCAGGGTAATGGTGCGGCGTGCTCTGTCCCGGGTGATCTGCAAGCCAAGGTAGCTGCGCAGTTCACCCAGGTCTGTGCACGTGTGTCTCTTCTGCAGCTCGGACTTCACGTGGGCGAGTCCAGCAGTGTCAGCTGTGGCAAAGACCAAGTCGTCGACGTACACGAGGATGTAGAACGGCGGCAGAGAGGTGTCGGTGCGTAGAAACAGCGACGGGTCGGCAGTAGAAGGAGCAAACCCAAGAGCCGCAAGCGTAGTCCTCAGTGTGTCGTGCCACTCACGTGGCGCCTGGCGGAGACCGTAGACTGGACGCCGGAGACTCCACTGGGTACCAGGAGGGAAAGACCCAGTGAAGCCAAGTGGGCGGCGCAGCCAGATCTCCTCGTGCAGGCTGCCCTGCAAGAAAGCAGTGCTGAAGTCGAGAGAGTGCAGCTCGTAGTCACGGTGAGCAGCAACGTGTAGCAGCACCCGAAGAGTGGTCATCTTCGGGGTGGGGGAGAAGGTCTGAAAGTAGTCAACTCCCTGTCGCTGACTGAAGCCACGAGCCACGTAACGTGCCTTGAAGACAGGCGGAGAACCCGGCGGCCGCTTCACCCTGAAGATCCACATGCCACTGACGATGTTCGCCCCAAGAGGGGGGACAGCGTCAACGTAGGTGCCTGTGGACTTCCAGGAAGCCATCTCTGCATCCATAGCTGCCTGCCACTGAGAGGAGTAGGGACCCTCTATCGCCTCCGCGTAAGAGCGCGGAGTCGGGATGTCAAGTGCATCCGGGTCTCCCTCAGGGGTAAGCAGTACGGACACGAGATGAGGTGAAGTAGCTGCCAGACACTGGAACTCCTCCTGCCTGTCCTCAAGGACGTCCGTGCCAAGGGCACACTCACCCCCGACTGACGGAGGACAGGCAGACCCAGACTCAGCGACAAGACTAGCAGCGTAGTCTAGGCGACAGCGAGCAGCAAAGTCGACGAGCTCAGTAACTAGGGCAGACGCAGCAGTAGACTCGAAGGAAGGGTCAGTGACGACAGTAGCAAGGAGACGCGTGACAGTAGGACTGGCAGCACGAAGAGAGTCCGACGCAGGGTCGGGAAGAGCAGGAAGAGAGGACTCAGGAGGAGAAGGCAAAGGGGCACGCAGAGGAGCAGTAGACGGACGCAGAGACATCCTGTGCGTGCCAGGGACAGGAGGAGGACGCTGACGCGAACCACGACCACTAGCGCGAGCAGCACGGACAGGCGACGCAGGGCGAGACGCAGGCTCACGACGCTCAGTAAGACCTCCAGTAGGACCAGTGTAGGGAGAAGGAGCAGGTAAAGGGGAGGTAGGCTGTAGCAGTGACCGCGACGGGACAGGCTGTGGACCCTCCAAGAGAGGAGGAGGACCAGGAGAGGGCGGAAGACCAAGAACCTGCTGCAGGAGTGGAACGAAGTACGGTCGAGGCCGCGTAGCTACGCCAGAAACAGCAGGGACAGCACCAGTACCCCCAGCAGGAGCACCCGCTCCAGCAGCACCTCCAGTAGCTCCAGAACCTCGAGCAACACCAGGAGCACCCCCAGCAGGACCGCCAGTGGTAGTCTCAGCTCCAACACCCTCAGCAGCACCAGCTCCAGTCGAACCCGCAGGCCCAGCAGCTCCAGTACTCCCAGTACGAGCACCTCCGGGACCCGCAACAGCAGCACCCTCAGTAGCCGACGAACCTCCAGCACCAGCAGCACGGCTCCAGCGCCGGGCAAACCACTCGCGCAGCTCCTGTGGAGAGAGTGGCTCCCGGCGAGACAAAGCACGCGTAGAAACTCGAGGCGGAGGACCTCCAGGCGCAGCACTCCCAGGTCCAGCACCCCCAGGCAAAGCACCCCCAGGCGTAGCACCCCCACACTCAGCACCCCCAGGCTCAGCACCCCCAGGCTCAGCACTCCCAGGCTCAGCACCCCCAGGCTCAGCACCCCCAGACTCAGCACCCCCAGGCTCAGCACCCCCAGGCCCAGCACCCCCAGGCCCAGCACCCCCAGGCTCAGCACCCCCAGCAGCACCAGAGTCACCAATGACCTCGACAGGCTCGACTGCGTCTACCTGGGACACACCTGAAGGGGCAGGACCCTGAGGGGGGAGGGGGTCTACCGGGGGGGGACCTGGTACAAGGAAGAGCGGGGGCGGGGGGGGGGACGGAGTGCGGTAGGGGAAGAGGCGGTAGTAGGGTACCGACTCGTCGAACGTGACGTCCTGAGAGGACAGAACACGGCGAGAGGTGGGGTGGTAGAACTGCCACCCAGGCGCGTCTGGGGGGAACCCCAGGAAGACGCAAGGAGCAGCACGAGGGGACAGTTTGTCCGCAGACAAGTCGCGGACAAACGCCCGAGATCCCCAGACCCGGAACGCCGACGCATCGCCCACCTTCCCGGTCCACAGCAAGGCTGGGGAGGTCTCCGGCCTGGAGACCCTGGGGTGAAGGTTGATCTGACGTGCCGCGTACCTCACCGCAAACGGCCACAGAAAATGGGGGGCAGCCGCATGCATCATAGACGTACGAGCGACGTCCATGACCATGCCAATGCGGCGCTCAGCAATCCCATTTTGCTGCGGAGAGTCCGGGAGCGTGAAGGTCTGACGGATGCCTCGTGCACGACAGTAGGCTCGCAGAAGGCCAGAGGAGAACTCTCCGCCTCTGTCCGAGTGCAGACGCAGAACAGGAAAGTCGGAGCCAAAGCTCTGCCTGAGCTGGAGACGAGCTGCGCGGATCCAGTCGATCAGCACCTCAGTGACATCACCCTTGCCGCGCAAGGGGAAGACTGCGGTGTAACGCGAGTAGTCGTCAACAACGAGCAGGAAGTAGCGCTCGTGACCCTGCCCACGGACGCGGGCTGGGCCCCACACGTCCATGTGGAGCGTCTGCAACGGGGCCTCTGTCGGAGGAAACTGGGAGGAGTGAGGGGCAGCACGCTGGCGCCCCTCGACACAGGGGACACAGGTAGGGCCAGGGCCCTGAGGAAGGGGAGAGAGGGACCGGGGGAGACCAGACACTAGAAGACGGGAGGCCATGCCTCTGAGCCGAAGCAGAGAGGGGTGACCAAGACGGTGGTGCCAGAGAAGAGTCTCGTGAGACAGGAGACGACAAGAACAGGGGGTAGACTCAGGACCAGACCTGGACGCAGCAGCAAACACCTGACCCGACGAAGCGACTCTACCAGACTCAGTAACGGGAGGAGACGCAGTGGTCAGTGTGTACAGGCTCGACCCCGGCTGACGGGTAAACGTAGCCAGGTGTCGGCCTGTGCGAGCCTCTGTACAGTGCGTCACCCGCTGACGCGCAGGAGTGAACTGGTGTACACCCGCATCCTGTAGGTCAGCACCACTCACCAGGTTCGTAGAGAACGAGGGGAGGTAGAGACCAGACAGGGTGCCAGAGGGAGCCGCCGGACACGGGAGGACTGTGGAGAAGCGAGACAGGACAGGACCCCCAGAGGGGTCAGCCAGAGACACTGCAACCGGTCGACTCAGCGGTGTGAGTGTGGTGCGGTCCTTAAAGAAGGAGCGAGACGCCCCAGAGTCAAGGGTGAAGGTGAGGGAGGCCGAAGCCGACGTAGTACCTGAGAGCGCAGACTCACCAGTACCTGAGGACGCAGACACACGAGCACCTAGGGCAGCAGCGTCGCAAGCACCTAGGGCAGCAGCCTCACCAGGACCTAGAGCAGCAGTCTCAATACCCGGATCGGGCGGGAAACACCGGTAACAGTCACCCTCATCACTAATAGACACAGCATACATGGCAGAGAGAATAGCATCAAAGTCAAGATCATAGATGGCAACACCCGCCCTGGACAGGTCACCCCAACGAGGGATCTCTGAGGCCTCCGGGAACTGGTGACGCCACGCGTCCGTCAGGCGGCCAAAGCAGCGCTGAGTGGGGTGGGGACCCCCACACTGCTCACCCGCACGGTCGCCGGTGCGCAAAACGTAGGAGCACGGACCAAAACCCCCACCTCGCTGACGCGCAGTGTACCACTCACGAAGCTGCTGAGGGGACAAGGTGTCACGACCACGCTGCTGCTGCTGGCGCGAGCCACCACCGGAGCCACTCCTCTGCGAAGACCCGCGACCAGCACCACCTCCACCCCCGCCGCCTCCTCCGCCTCCGCCGCCTCCGCTACTGCCGCCGCCTCCACCTCCGCCTCCGCCGCCGCCACCTCCGCCACCCCCGCTCCCACTGCCACCGCCGCCGACACCTCCGCCTCCACTGCCGCCACCGACTCCTCCACCCCCACCTCCACTCCCACCGCCACCCCCACTCCCCCCACTGCCGCCACCTCCACCTCCACCGCCCCCGCTCGCTCCTCCAGCGCCCTTGCCCCCTTTGCCCTTGCCAGAGCGGCGTCTCCCACTAGGGGCAGACGCCACACCGACCGACTCAAGACCAAGGAGGTCGGCCGCAGCAGCAGAGGCAACAGAGGGCAGAAGGGGGGAGGGGGAACACCCCTCAAAGATGGGGGTGCGCGGGTCACCACGAGAGGCCCCTACAGCGACTATGCTCTTCTCGGCCGCTAGGAGGGACTTCTCGAGGAGGTCAACAGTGAGAGTGGTGGGACAGACAGAGAGAAAGTGGTCCCTGACTACGCGAAGGGAGTCAGGAAGGCGAGTGACTATGTAGTAAAGAGTGATGTACATGGGGGGGGGGGTTCTTGGCGCAGAAGTCAGCAGGGAGTGCAGCGCGGTAGCGAGTGTCACTAGTGCGGAGGTGCGTAATGAGGTCAGCGACTGTGGGAAAGGCAGCAAGGTCAGGAAAGAGGTACGGTAGCATGAGACGGCTCAGTGCAGCAGTGGCAGGGGAGGAGTAGCGCGCAACTACAGCGTCGTACAAGGTCTGAGCACTCTTGTACTGACTAAAGTGTGCACGCTCGGAGGTAGGGAGGTGGCGACGCACAGCAAGACGTGCAGCAGCGTCGCGCGTGGCCCACTGGGAGCGAACAGTGGCGTCGGCGTCAGCAGTAGGGGCAGTGGAGGCGCCAGAGGTGAGGTCAAAGAGAGAGAGACCATCTGCCCTATCGCACTGTAAGAACAGCTGCAGGTCATCCACCCAGACCTCAAAGTCAATGGCCCGACCCTCAGCGTCAAAGACTAGAACACTAGGGGTAGCCATGACCCTAGACGACTGGCAGCGCAAACAGTAGGGTGAGGGCAGTGCAGTGAAAGGGCGCTGTGCTCACCAGACTGGACAGGTCGGGCGGCCCGGAAGGAGGGCGGCGCGGCGGCTCGGCGGCTCGGCTGCCGGGCGGCTCGGCGGCTCGGCGGCTCCGCTGCTGGGCGGCACGGCTGCTGGGCGGCTCGGCTGCTGGGCGGCTCGGCTGTTGAGCGGCTCGGCTGCTGGGCGGCTCGGCTGCTCTGCTGTCGGGCGGCTCGGTTGTGCTGCTGAGGGGCAGCACGGCTCGGGCTGCTCGGGCGGTGCGGGCGGCTCGGGCGGCTCGGGCGGCTCAGCTCCTCAGCGGCACAGGCGGCGTGGGGACCGAGACGGCGGCGCGCGGCTGGGACGGGCGGCGCACGGGCGGCGTGGGGCCGGGACTGCGGTGCGCGGCCGGGACGGGCGGCTCACGGGCGGCGTGGGGCCGGGACGGGCGGCGCGCGGGCGTCGAGGGGCCGGGACGGGCGGCGCGCGGGCGTCGAGGGGCCGGGACGGGCGGCGCGCGGGCGTCTAGGGGTCGGGCCGGGTGGCGCGCGGGCGTCTAGGGGCCGGGACGGGCGGCGCGTGGGCGTCGAGGGGCCGGGACGGGCGGCGCGCGGGCGTCTAGGGGCCGGGACGGGCGGCGCGCGGGCGTCTAGGGGCCGGGACGGGCGGCGCGCGGGCGTCTAGGGGCCGGGACGGGCGGCTCACGGGCGGCGAGGGGCCGGGACGGGCGGCGCGCGGGCGTCGAGGGGCCGGGACGGGCGGCGCGCGGGCGTCGAGGGGCCGGGACGGGCGGCGCGCGGGCGTCTAGGGGCCGGGACGGGCGGCGCGCGGGCGTCTAGGGGCCGGGACGGGCGGCGCGCGGGCGTCTAGGGGCCGGGACAGGCGGCGCGCGGGCGTCTAGGGGCCGGGACGGGCGGCGCGCGGGCGTCTAGGGGCCGGGACGGGCGGCGCGCGGGCGTCTAGGGGCCGGGCCGGGTGGCGCACGGGCGTCTAGGGGCCGGGACGGGCGGCGCGCGGGCGTCTAAGGGGCCAGGACGGGCGGCGCGCGGGCGTCTAAGGGCCGTGACGGGCGGCTAAAGGGGCCACTAGGGGCCAAGAGAGAGGGGAGCGCGACTCGGGTAGGGGCAGAGTGCGCTCCGGGCAGGAAAAAAAAACGGTGGGCCCTAGGAACAGTTCCCACGAGGGAACCTGCTCGATACCATGAGAAGAATGAAGAACGAGGATGAATGAACTATGAATGAGGTGAGTACATATGGAAAACCCTAACTGGGTTGTACCCCCTATGGGATACCCCACTATAGCCTACACAACAGCATAAGCTATATAATGTTCTGACACCCTCGGCCACGAGCGGGGCATGAAGAGCTTCGCCCCGTTCAAGCGCGTCAGGTCTCCCAAGCGCAGCTCGAGGTTGTACACCAGCTCGCGGGCGAATGAGCGGCAGCAGGTGTAGCAGCCTTGCATGTCCCCGCTGCTGGTGGTGTATCCCTTGACTGCCTCCTCGTGCAGCTGGAACTTGTGTACACGGGGCTGACCCTCCTTGTCCACCCCTTCCACAGTCATTTCACGGCAGTCGGGCGAGGCGTGCCGCGCAAGGAAAGCAGACAGCAGCTCACTGGTCCCACCGCCAAACTGCTGGCCACAGTTCAGGTACCTCTGCTCCATGTAGATGATGGTCCGCCTCACCTGGGAGTGCACTGCAGTGAGGTCGACCTGTTGGTGGGGGGAGAATTGGTACACCGAAACAAAAGATAAGTACCTGGGAGAAGAAGAGAACTGCAAAACGGAACTCAACAACTCACCTGTCGCTTCTGGAATAGCAAGTTGAGCGCGTTGAGTGCCGTGTGCACATCTGCCAAGAAGAACAGGAAGTAATGAAACTTGAACGACGTTACTAAGTGGTACATCGTCTTGTCCGACTCCTCGAGCATAACGATGACAGCAGGCAGAACGCGTACGGATCGTGCGATTGCATCGCCGCGACTCAACCAGCGGACGCTGTGGATCCCCTGGACCTCGAGGTTGGTATGCGTGAACACTTCCTGCAGCTCCTTGAACTTGCGGTTGGAGTTGCTGGATCTGCCGAGATCTTCCGCCACTGCGCGGATAACCGCGTCGATTATGCCAAGCTCGGGTAGTGCCTTAGCCGCCTCCTTTGCAGCAAGCGCTTCCCTGCCACGGGTAGAAATGCACGGGTGGGGGTGTTAGAATTCGCACTGCGACATACCACGTTGCACATCTCATACCGCAACAACACCACCACAGCAACTGTTTACCTGTGTGCGATGCAGTGAGAAGCCACCACGTGCGGGATCTCCAGTCGAAGACGCCCAACGAGGCCCGTGTCGTTGCCTATCATCACAGGTGCCCCATCGGTGCTGATACCCGCCACCTTCTCCAGCGGCAGGCTAATACTGTCAAGGAATCCCGTGATCTTAGCATAAAGAGATGCTGCATCACACTTCTCGACGGAGAGGTTAGTCAGAAAGTCTGTGGTGACGGCATGCTCACGCAGAAAGGTTACAAACACAATCATGTGCTTCCCTTTGACGCGGTCCGTACTCTCGTCGCAGCTCAGACCAATGAATGGACTCGAATCAATGAATTCTCTCTGGCGCGCACGAAGGTATGTCGCTATTGCGGCGGTGATCTCTTCAAATCCGTACCTGCACGGGCATCAACGCGTGTGGTTAGTGATAGCTTCACGTATATCACATCCCCCGACGATATGTACTAGAGCAGTGTCACTTACGTCGTATAGTAGGCACCATAACTGCTCTTTGGGAAGCCCGGTGTGCCACGCTGCGCTAGATGTTGGACGAGGTCGACGTACATCTCGATCGGGGCGTCGGACTTAGCGATGAAGAGTGCCGTCTCAAATAGCGCGAGCAGGCGCTCCTTCTCGACGTCTTTCACCTTCTTGTTGTCGTCAATCCGGCGGTTAGCTTTGAGCGCCGCCTCGGCTGTCCTCTGTCTGCGCAGAGCGCGGCGGTGCTTCCTTGTGCGTTGATGCTTCCGCATTGCCTGGGTCTGCACATCGGTCGCCCCTTCTCCTTTGGCGCCGAAGTTCGTGCCCACACCGCCGTGCGCAATGCAGACCGAGCACTTGATTGACGGGAATCCTGCACTCGTCTGAGACAGAACAAGCCACGGATAGTCGTCAGACCACTGTTTGTTGAACATAAATAAGGCATCCTGGTATTTCTCCTCGGCTATGTCGGGCAGTTCTGTTTCGGAGGTAACCTCAACCGCTTTCCCCTTCCGTTTACGCTGTCGGGCCTCCGGGGAGGAGTTCCCCACACCAGACGTTGGCGTAGCTTGACTGGCACCCCAGTTGATCTTTGTTTGGCGGTACGTCACTTTGATACCCCTTTTGAGACGGGGTCCGACGCGAGTAGTTCCGGCAGCGACAGAATGACGGTTCCGTGTGGGTTCGGGAGCGGCAGGAGTTGATGCGGCAGCGTCAGGAGTTGATGCGGCAGCGTCAGGAGTTGATGCGGCAGCGGCAGGAGTTGATGCGGTAGCGACACGAGGTAATGCGGCAGCGCCAGCATGCGTCGAACACTCGCCCTGCGTCCAGATGGTAGGTGCCTCGGGGCCCGAGGAAGGGAAAACAACGGTAGGAGCTGATGGCGAGACTAACACGGGAGCAGCTGAAGCTCGTCGTAAGAAGTCTAGGCCAGTAAGGGCGGCTGGCTTCGTGGCTGGGACGGATTCAGGGTTGTCACCTGCGGGCGTTGGATCCGCCATGGCTGCTCAGCTGTGCTGAGCGTGCCGAGCTTGAGAGGGAAGCTACTGCCAGGTTGAGCTCGAACGTCACTTCCTGCAGGGGTTCACGACGAGTGCAGGAACAGAATGAGGGAGCAGATGGGGGTACCCCCTCTCCCGAGCCGCCATGGCGAGGGATCGTGGTCCTGGGTTTCCGTCTTTCCAGGCAAGATGACAACACCCCCACCCACCCCACTGCCATATTTTATGGCGTGTTGGTGTGGACCGTGCCAGCAGTGGTGTGCTGTCTGTGTTCTCATTGGGCAGTTGTTGAACTAGGTTCATCGTACTCTGGTGTGATGGCTTCCAGCGAGGCAAAACGGTTCGGCGTGCACATGCTGTAAGTTCAGCGCATGTGAAAAGATTCCAAGTGTGTGGGTGGGGTGGGGTTTCGTGGGAAGGTACAGTCTGTAAACGCGTCGCCCCCCCCCCCCCCCCCCCCCGGGCGGTCAAGTCCGTTTCAGTGTGACTCGCTGAAGTATACTGATTCGTCAGTGTTACTTGTTCTGAAACACGCAAAATGGTCAGTGTGGCAAAATTGCAAATACTGAAATTACAGTGCAAAAATGAGGCATATACTGATTTTTCAGGGAAAACGGAAATCAGAGCTACAAAATCAGCGTAATCAGCGTGTTTTACGCTGATATCTGAGGGCCTGGCTATTTCCGTGTCTGATTGGTCAGAAATCTTGTCTGACCAATCGAATAGGACAATTGTTAAGAATTGTTTCTGATCTCTGGTTGTGTACTTGACTGATGATTCGGACTTGGTTCGTCACAGCAGATTCGCCCTGACGGCAAATTCGACCTCGCACAGTCGTTACGCGCTGTCGCAGCACAGCAAATTCGCCCAATCATAGCAGATTTGCCCTGACACAGCAGCAGATTCGCCCCTCACACAAGAGATTCGCCCTGTCAGAGCATGTTTCGCCAGAAATCCCCTTGGTGCACGGTGCACAGTGACGGCGTGCCAAAACAAGGAGTTTTCGGTTTCAGGGTAGACCCCGATACAACATTGACTCGTCAGTGTCCTCAAACACAAAACACTGGAAAATCAGAGTTCGAAATTTAAAAACACTGAAACATCAGGGTCGTTGAAAAAAAAAGGCTGATGCATCAGGGTCATGATAAAAAACGGGGGTCAAACTTCAGGAATTCAGGGTAAAATTCCTGACATCTGAGGCCCTGGTGCCACCCAAAAGTGCAGTGCCATGGTTGTGGTACGGTACGGTATATTTGAGATCCGCTACGCAGTTCACGGATGTGTTTCTTACAAAACAAGGAAGCACGCATGTATCAACTAGACTAGAGGAACCAAACACAAGCCATAATTCTACAATGAAATGAAAAGCCAACCAGCTGCCGTAGTAATCACAGAGGCACATTGTGCACCTCACACTTCAAATGAGAGAATCAAGATGAGCAAGCTCATGGTATGCTAGCACCAACAAATGGTGCGACAGCTCTACAGCCTCCCTCCTCTCACTCACACTCGGGCCCTCCTCCATTAACTCGTCCACAAAACCCTCCCTCCCATACTCCTCCATTCCCCCTAGCCCCTTATCACCCCAGCCATCCCTTCCCATGCCCATGCTCATGCCCATCGCCCAGCCAGGGGAGGCATGATGAGCTGTGCGGGAAGCGAGGGTTGCGAGAGGTGTGAGTGGGGGCGGGCATGCAAGGCTAAAGGCGAGGTCATGCAGAAGGCGCAACAGGGAGTTGATCTGCTGGCGCAGACGCAGGGTTGGTGGGGGAGGGGAGGGTGGAGAAGGGAGAGGGTGGGAACCGGTGGCGGTGTGGCAGTGTGGATGGGAGGTCAGAGGTGCATGGTGAGGGTGGGAGGAGGACGGATCAAGGGGCTGCAGCATCTGCGCAGGTAGCCCAGGACGAATACCGGTATCTTCTCCTGATGCACACCCTAGTTTGTTCTCCGGTTGGCTGTTCGTGCTGCGCTGGCTAGTGGGCTGGATCAGTCTGGCGTGGAGGAAGGAGAGAGGTAGGCTCCTCTCGCCCGCTCCTCCACTCCATGTACCGCCTCCATCTGCCTCAAGCGTGCAATCCGCTATGCCACTTCCCCACACTCCATCCACAAACCGTACCCTTTTCTGTTGCTCTGCTCCTACTACTCCCACTGCCCCCGTTGCCCCCGCTGCCCCGCCTGCCCCTGCTGCCCCCACTGCCCTTCCGCACCTCCCAACACCCACGCCGAAGCCACTTCCACTGTACAGAAAGCCTCTACGGAGGGTATCATATGCCGATGCTGGAGTTGCGGGGGTGCAGGGAGTGTACCTAGCCCTCGCTCCGGTGCCATCAACACTTCTTTCCAACCTCCCATCATCGGAGTTGGGTACACTGGGGATGTTAGACGTAGCAGCAGTAGCAGCAGAAGCGGCAGCAGTGGCAACAGCACTAGCAGCTGATGCCCTGGCGACAGTCCCAAGGTCCTCCTGCAGCTGCCGTGCCACGTCACTCATCTCCAGCCTCCTCTGCGCATCCACGCGCGGTGCTCTCTGCCGCACAACCAGACGAGAAATGCCGCCCACGACCAGCTTCGCCAAGGCACTGATAGCGCCGCACTCACTGCCTGCTTGCCATCCAGCCTGTGTAGAATCGAGCCGCTTGTCTTGACCAGCCCGTGCCTGCTGCTCACCAAACTCACCAAACTCACCAAGCTTACCAACACTATCACCATCACCAGCACCACTACCACCACCACCGAACCCCTTGCAAGCAGCGAGATGACCACTGAAATCACCAAGGAAATCATCTTCTCCCTCGTCTCCCCTGCGTCCCCTTTTTCCCTTGTGCTTCTCTCCCTCGCACCCGTCCCCGGTTCCCAGCACGTCAAGGAACAGTCGCAGCATATTCACAAGCAAGGTTCCAAAACCAGTGCCCCCTCCCCCTCCTCCTCCTCTGCAATCCCAACCCGAACCTGCCAGCGAGGTTCGGGCATTGCGCATGGCTGCATAGGCTCGGCCGGAGGGTCGGTAAGGGCAGGACGGGGAGCACGCGGGGAGGGTGGGAGAGGAGAGGAGCGAGGAAGAGGAGGAGGAAGAGAGCTCTTGAGCAAGAGTGGAGGAGCATTGCTGCTGCAACAGGGCTGCTCGTATGTGGATGAGACGCAGGCGTGGGGAGAAGTTTTCCATGTCATCCACATCATAAGAGGTGGTGGCAGCAGGTGTGGGTGCAGGTATACTGTTGGGATGATGGTTGGTGCTACTGGGTGCACGCACACCGCTTGGATTCTTTCCTTTATTCTGCTCGCCACCCTGACTGCTCCTCTCCCTACCTCTGCTGCTGCCGTTAACACCAGTAGCAGCATCTGCAGCAGCACCGCCACCACCACCACTACCACCACCGTCAGCAAGACCAGCAATAGTTCCTGTCGTGACTGCACCTGCCACTCGCTCCTGGTCAGTGCCTGCAGTGCGAGCAGTAGCACCAGCACCAACAGCATGATCCACTGCCGCACCAACACCACCTTCCCCACTCCACCTTTTCTTCTTTTCTGCCTCTGCCACCCGCCCGGTTCTGCCGGGCTTGCCTTTCTCCTTGGCCTTCCGCTTTCTGTCACCTGCACCCACACTGCCTCTCGCCCCTTGCTCCTTCCCTCTCTTCTCTGACAAACGCGTCTCTCCACCTGCCCCTCCTGCACCTGCTCTCTCTGCCCTCCCTGATGCTGCTGCTGGCATAGCAGCTTCTGCTGCTGCTTTCTCTCCACCTCCAATTCCTGCTCCTGCCGCTGCTACTCCTGCTGGAGAAGGGAGGCCAGCTGCCTTCTTCTGTCCAGGTTGAGAGCCCTTGGCTGTCTTAGCAGCACCATTGCAAGGAGTAATGGCACGGGCGGGAGACGGAGGAGAGAATTCACGGGAAAGGGAGGGAAAAGACGAGCGTGGCGGCAA